TTAGAGTCGTCAGATTGTAACTTCCGATGTTGATTGTGAAGGCTGTTGAATTAGAGCTTTCATTGGTTGTTGTGAATGTCGTCAAATTATAACCTTCATCGATCTACGTAAAAATTTTTAAATTGTAGCTTTCTGGACGTCGTTAAATTATAACTTTCATCATCAGTATTTGATGGAGATCAACTATCTACAGTAATTTTTAGACAGCCTACAGAACCCCTCCAAAATTTTTAAAAGTTCGCGATTGACTGGAATGAATTTTCGAAATACTTTAGATCTCAACTCTGATCTTGGAGTTGTTGATTCCTTGTCATAAAGGAGTTGTTCTCTCTACCCGCTTCAAAGGCATCTTGGTTAAAGGGATTTGCCACGCAGGACCCGTGTGAGGATGAGCTTTGAAGAGAAACTGTAGCGACGGTACAGGCTATTCGTGAGCAGAAGCTCTCGTATTCAGCTGATGGGCCCGCAAACATTTATAAGATTTTTGATAAATTTTCAGCCATCAACGAATTTGATAAGTCTTTACCGACTACCGTTTAAGTCAGGCTAGCATGTGGATTGTCTAAGTCCGTTTCACATTTAACGTTGTGCTAAAAGAATAAACTCTCTTAGACTTAGTGCTATGATACCAAATACATAAACTTTGTCAATTTCATGGGAATGGACTACCCGACAACACGTGTTAGGCGTAGGTTTATCTCTAATTAGGGGTCGAGATAAAATCCCCCATGCATGAAAAACATGGATTTTTGGTGTTACGCTATTGATTACGTAGACTTCATCATTATTGCAGGAATAGGCCACCCGACAACATGTGTTAGATGCAGACTTATCTCTAATTAGGGATAAAGATAAAGTCTCTCATGCGTGTAAGACATGAATTCTGGTGTTATTAATAACAATTTGCTACGATATTAAAAACGTAGGCTTTGTCGTTGTTTCTTCCTGTGTTATGTTTTCACTTGCAACACTGAAAGAAAGTTGGAAGTGCCAGAGGTGTAGTATTAACTTGACATGAATTTTCACTTAGAGTAAAATTCAAAAATTTTCTTTATCATCACCAGGATAATTCTAGAAAATCTTTAATCCGCTGGGGATTTTATAATAAAAACTTGTTATTCTTGTTAAAAAAATGATTAACAAGTTCATTAGGGGGTTTAACTGTTAGAGGTGTGATGTTAACCTAAGTATTTTATGTGCCTATCGTTTTACTGAAGAGAGTCGATAAGTTGATTATTGTTTCAAACTCATGAATAGTTCATATATTTTTTCAAGTGTGCATAATTAATTATTGTTCGGTCAAAACAGACGAAAATTAACAAAAGTCGTAGGTTATGGCTCATGAGATTGTGAATTTTTGAAATACATGTAGTTAATTGTCATGGGAACGAAACGAACATAAATGGACAAAAACTGTGGGTTCTATAGTTCAGAAAATTATGAATATTGAGGTATGCATACTTAAATTGCGATTGGGTAGAATCAAATAAAAATTAATAAAAATCGTGGGCTATAATTATGAAATCACGAATTTTTAATGTTTACTTGATTGACATGGGATCAAAAGGAAGGATAATGGAAAAAATTGCGGATTAGAGATCATGAAAATTGCGAGTTATGATATACTCAATACTTGTCATTAGACCGAAACGAACAAAAGTAGACAAATATCTTGTCTTTGAAATATGCCTACTTAATCGGTATATTTTCAAAATGAACAAAAATTGAATAAATGTGGGTTATATCATATTAAAACATGAATTTTAAAGTATGCCAACTTAATTGCTACGTGATCAAATCAGATGAATATGGACAAAATCTTAGCCAATGCAAATTATAAAATTTAAAATACGAATGATTAATTACCATTAGGTGGAGCTGATGACAATTGACAAAATTTGGGCTATAGTCCATGAAACTCGTGTTTTCGGTCCATATAGTTAATCTCCATTCGATCGAAACGAACAAAAATGAAAAATTGTGAGGGTCATAGGAAATCGCGAATTCTCAAATGTGCGTATTTAATTGTCATTGGGTCGTATCGAACAATAATGGACAAAAATTATGGTTATTGAGAATGAATTTTGAAGTATATGCGTAGTTAATATACATTGGGTCGTAATGAACTAAAATAGATAAAATCATAAGTTATATCTCATGAAAATTGTAAATTTTGAAGCATATATATTTAATTGTCATAGAATCATAATGAAGGAAAATGAGCAATAATTATAGGTTATAGTTCATAAAATTACAAACTTGAAAGTACACATACTTAACTATTATTCGGTCGAAACAATTGAATTGAAAACAAATTGTGGGTTATAGCCCATGAAATCGCGAATTTTGAAGTATCCATACTTAATTGATATTGGGAACAAAGTAAATAGACAAAAATCGCATGTTATAACTCATGAGAATCGTGAATTTTAAACTATGTATACTTATCTTTAAAAAATGTATACTTAATTGTTATTGAGTTGAAACGAAGAAAATGAACAAAATCATGAATTATAGCTCATGAAATTGTGAACTTTGAAATACATATAATTAATTAACATTGGGTCGAAATAAATGAAGAATAGCAAAAATCGTGAGCTTATAGCTCATGAAAATTGTGAAATTTAAAAAATATATATTTAATTGCTTTTGAATCGAAATGAAGAAAAATGAACAATAATCATGGGTTAGCCCATAAAGTCATGAATTATGAAATACAAACCAATTGGTATATATATATCTTCAAATGTCATTTTGTTCAAAAGAAGACGACAAACTGCATATGAATTAGAAGGAAAATCATGCTTCACCTTATGAGTTTGTTCTTATTTTTTATTGTTGGTTCTGAAGATGATACATTGATACTTAAAACCTATTGATGGTACCGAACAAGGATTCATAATCATTTAAATAAACT